GGCTCCCGGGTGGCAGGTACCAGGGCCCTGATGCTGCCTCTCACCTCCCCCGGGTGCCCGGCCACTCTCTTTGTGCCCCGCGGCCGCTCTGGCCCCAACGAGAGGGGCTTTGGGGCTTTGTTGCCAGCCGGGGCAGTGATTGATCACCGGGCAGAAAGGCCAAAGCCGCGACGGGTCGTTTAACAATTTCAATTAAACTCTGCAGCGCTTCGACTCGCAGGGGAGGGCAGGGAAAGGCGCAGAAGGGAATTCAGAAGAGGGACGTTTCCACGGCCGCTCCGGGGAAGCCTCGGCCCCAGCTGGGGCAGCGGGACTGGCCCCATCATCAAAGATGCCCTGACCCACTTGCACGGCGCGGCCAAGGGCTGCGAACGGCGAATATTAAGCACCACGTCCCCGACGTTCCCGCTGCCGCAACTGGCGCTTGCTTCTTGCTTACGTGCGGTGACTTTTTTAGGCACAGGAAGTCCCGGAGGGCTAATCACAGAGCCGCCGCTCCGAATCCACCGAGACAGCAGAAGGCCTCTTAGAGGGATTTTAAAAATCAGCATCTCCGCCTGTCATACGGGAAAGGCGCTTTAATGAGCGGCGAGCGCAGCCAGCGCTCCGCTCAGCCCGGCGAGAGGAGCGCAGGGAGCCCCGGCGCTGCCGGGCGCCCGTGGGGCACCTGGGGGCGTGCCCGCTCTGCGATGGGATGAGCTCCGGGAACGGGGCCGCAGCCGCCCCTGCCGACATCTCAGCGCTGGCTGGGGGGTCCTGCAGCGGCAGCGCCAGCAGCCGGACTCGCGGTTTTGCCCCACTCGGAGCTTGTTGGTAGCCGACCCAAGGGAGTTTATCCTCCGCTCACACTCATAATCCCCAGCCAAACTTGCATTTCACCGCGCCAGGCTCGCTACCCTGAGCTGCTCCTAATAAGCCTTAATGCTCCTCTTCCTGCCCGATTTCCCCTTCTCCCTGCTGGGGGTTGTTTTTCTCCTCCATTTTCCCACCAAGAGGCAGCTTGGACGAGGGGTCCCGCAGCAGCACCAGGCCCGGCCGGGCCTCCCGCGGGGCTGCCCTGGCCCTGCCGCTCGCGGCACTGCCAAGCGACGGGGAGGAGGATCCTCAGTCCTGGTTTTATAAACACCTTGCGCCAGGGAGGAGAACCCGGATCCGCCTGGCCGGGACTAACGTCCCTCCCTCAGCCTCCGCGTCCGGCTGCAGCGGCGCTCGCTCCGCGCTGCACAGGAGCACGCGGGTCTCCCCGGCGCATCCGCGGCCCCTGCAGACACCCCACTGCTCGCCAGGGTCCCGGGCAGCCCGTGAGCACCCTGGCCACCTCCAGCACCACGAGGAGCCTGGCCCGGTCCACTGAAATGCTCGACGCAGAGCAAGCCCCAAACCCCTTGCAGCTCACGCTTGCTGCTGACCTTCCAGGGAGCACATGGAAGAGGGCAGCTCTGCTCGGGGGTTAAACATTACCAGACTGAAATTCAAGGCTTGGCAATTGGTTCCAGTCGACCGGTTTGGCTGATAATTTTTCACAAGATAAACACAGCCAGGAGCAAGTGGCAATTGCTAAAGACCCTGTGCAGCAGCATCCTCCAAGCGGCACCACTTTCTCCCCACCGCGATTTCCTCTCGCCCTTCGATGTCCCACACACCAGCCCCAACCCGGAGCCCAAAGGGACCGTAAGTCCTGCTGGGAGGATCATTTACAGCTCCGTTGTTCACTGGCAAGGGCCCCGTTCACATTCCCACCTCCAACCCCAGCGCAATCCGTGTGCTGGGTTCAGAGGCAGCAAGGGGCAGAGACGGGCGGCAGAACGGAGGGAACGCGGCAGGGCCCGCGTGGTACTTACTGCTCTTGGACGCTTTGATCTTGGCCACCAGTTTCTGCACGCCAGGTACATCCCCGTTTTTCACGGCCTGAATCAGCTCCTGCTCTCGCCCCATCATGGACAGGTCGGAGAGACAGCGGCACGGAAGGAAGAAGTCCTTGGATCCCTGTGGTTTATAGAGCCATGGGAATCAGCCTGTAACTCCTTAAAATACACTAGGATGCGAGATGAAATCCAGCAAGAAAGATGCTTGGCAATCCCATGGGACATAAAAGAAAGTTGCCGTCTCCCACAGTTGCTCACAGCGACAAAGGCGACGCTTTCGGCTTCAGGAGGAGGGAGCTGCGGATGGAGCTTCGCTGAAGAACACGTGATCAGTGAAAACGGGGACTAGTTCAGCGCAGGGCCCAGCTCCCGGCAGCGGCGCCCCCGGCACGGAGCGAGGCGGCTCGGGGCGCCGGGACACTCGGCATGGGGACGATCAGCCGAAGCTGCGCGACGCTCCCGCAGCCCGAGGTGTCATGTTTTGCTTCCCTCGCCAGGCTGTGCTGTGCTGACGAGTCCCTAATTCTTCCCAAAGGGATTACGGGCTCCCGGCCATCTGGAAGTTATAGATCCTCTCTCTCCGGGGCTCATTCCCGCCCGCGGTGCGGCATTCCGCTCGGCGACAGCCCTGCCGGCCGCGCTGGGGGCCGGGCAGAGCCCCGGGCAGGGGACGGCACAGGGACCCCGGTACCTGCAGAGGGGAAGAGCAGAGTCAGGCCTCAAAGCAGAGTCCCTTCCCCGCGCTGTCGGGAGGCTCCATCGCGACAGTGTTTGCATCCGTGCCGGAGCACAAATACTTTGACTATATTTAGTCCTGGCGGGACTTGGCTCGGCCGCACGGTGAAGCAGAGGGAAGAACCTGCAGCGGAAGCCCCCAAAGCTGCTGCCATGGGGTGGCCCGTGGTGTACGGAGCTGGCAGCAAAGTGACAGACACTGCGGCCAGGTCACGGCATCATCCCCTCTGCTCTCCCATGGAGAAAGGGCTCCCATCACCCCAGGGAGAGGAACCAGGGACCTGCCGCAGCCATTGACACCTTCCAACCCGCTCCTCTCCCTCGGCACTGCTGTGGCCAAAGCAGATGGAAAACCCTCCTGGTTTGGAGCCCCACGCCCGCGTAGGGAGGGACAGGGAAGGGGACACATGTCCAACAAGTTGTCACCAGAGAGCCCCGCAACTGCAGCTGGGCCTGTCCAGCCCACACTGGAAGCAGCACTTGAGGAGAAGCGCCCTGGCTTCCCTGGCCATCGCTCCAGCTGTCCCTTCCCTGCCATCGCCCTTCCCAACGCGCTCGCGCTCGTCCCCAGCCATTTATGTAACACCCAGCGTTGCTTCCTCTGAGCAATTGAGGTCATCGTTTCGAGGAAGGAAACGTGCAGGGAGAGGGAAGGCAGCAGCAGGAGGAAAAGCATCCAGGGGGCTCGGGAGAGCGGGGGCAGCCGGGCGCCCCGAGGCCTCCTCACCTGGGGCGGTGGGACAGGCTTCGCCACGAGCAGGGTCCCCCCATGACGGGCTGCACACGGGGTTGTACCACAGACCAACGCCACTGCCTGTCACCTGTCACCTCCCCGCATCCCGGGGCGCCGGGATGCCTCAGCTCCGCCACCACCAAGTTTTGGCCGCTCCGCTCCAGCTGCCCCCGGGCACATCGAGCCCTTCAACACGGCGCTGCGGGTGAGCGGCCTCGGCGGCTCCCAGCGCCTTGCCCAGCGCCGGGGCTGCCCTCCCGGCCCGG